CAGGACTCACTTCTTAACTTGATGTTAACTGAAAAAGAGAAATTGCTGTGTATAAGCCGTTTGGTTCACCTAAAATGTATTTTTATATCCAAGTATTTTTTTCTTTTCTGTATGCCCCCCACCCCCCAAATGATGGATAATTCAATACAACGGTGTCTACTGTTCCAAACCTATAACATTATTATGGATGAGTGATAAAGTCTTGTGTTTTCCTGTTAACGGTCTAAATCACTGATGCTACATAATCTCTGTTGTTCTGCTTTTATCACTCTTTAAGACCTTCCGCATCAAACCCCCCATGTGCATCACAAAGGAAGATGTTGATTTCTTCATGGCAGTCTTTGACAAGTCTGTCCGCAACTACATGGAAAAAAGATGAAAGCCTGGAAAAGGTCAGACGGATTGCTCCGTGTTAAAGAGACCCTGGTCAGCCAGAGGTGACCTTTTTTCAATATGAATAGTAAAAGTCTCAGTATTAATCTTAATAACCTCATTATCTCTGTTTTTACCTTTGTATAGTGATTAAGAAGATGACATTTTCTAATTATGTTTAATGATTTTGTTATAACAAAGACTTAAACGGCCTCACTGATAAAATTGATAACTAACTTTTAGTTCATTTTGCTCTTTTAGATCTGATAACTGTGTATGATCATTTATAAAGCGATGCTTTGCTTATTACTTATGATACCACAATAATAATGAAAGCTAAAAACCAAATCTGGTTATTCAGCAAGTTATACTTAATCATCTTACTAGGGATGTAGATGTTTACTTCTGACAGTGGATTTATTATCTTGTTATCAGTGTAAATAAATGGATAAAATCCTATTTCCACAGACCAATAAAACGTGATATTCTGGAAACACTGACATAGTGTCCAGCTGTTTTCATTGCAAGCATACAAGTGAAATAACTGTTAATGTTCACTGAATCGCTGGGAGGAGCATTACGATTCCATGTAACCCTGCTGCACTCTGCAAACTGGAATACTGCTGTACTTTCAAAATCTTATTCTACTGTGACGCACTCATGTTTACACTGTTTCAGTCTTACTGACCACTCAAAGTGCTTTAGACCATACATTCATATAGTGCTTTCAAGGAATTTATACATTTCATACTTAAAACACTTTATCTACCTCACATCCTGAGCCAATTTAGAGTCACCAATTAAACCAACATGCATGTCCTTGGACTGTGAGAGGAAGCTAGAGTATGCAAAGGAACCTCAGACAGGAGGCCAGGGACCGGCAAGACAACAGTGCTTATTAATATATATAGCGTCCTCTCTGCAGTCAGCTGTGGCTTAAAACTGTTGTGTTACAGAGGAGACAATATGCTGCAACTTCATGCCGTAACAGAAAGTGATCACAGTCCCTAAAGCCATGCTTCTGTGTGCACCAAAGCTGATATGAAAATGACTGAGGCATCTAATGCTTGGAAATATACAGAAAAAGAAAAGGAACATTAAAAAGCAAGGCAAATGTTACCGTGATTACCGAGCAATGACATCCAGGGAAACAAAAAGAAACATGAGACTGTGAGGTTCATGGACTGAGTGCCTGCAGTTTATCGGTTTATGTGTGTGTTTTTATTACATGAGTGGCAAGTTATTGTTAAGTGTAATTCTCTCTTCTATTGTTTTAATACTGGCCTGGGGAACAAATTTTGTTCTTCTTTTTAACATGTTAAATGTCTGTCTGTCTGTCTGGATTGTACACCGTACTGCAGGAGATAAAAAAGCAACTACAACCGAATTTTTGAATGTTTTAAAAAACATTTCTGTCCATCCTGGCCTAAATGCTTTGAATAGACAACCTACAGGGTACTAATGCTGCAATAAGTCCAACTGAGTCTTCTGAAATCTCACCTCCACATACTGTGATCAACCTTTACACACGGCTATAATTTATCCTTGAATGCAATGTGGGGTGAGAACCTCTTAGCTGAGTATTAGGGTTCACATATGGAAGAGCTGTGACTTTCAAAATGTAAAATAAAAACTTATTAATTAGGAGAATATTAAAGTAGAGGAAAATAATAATAATGGATTGCATTTATATAGCGCTTTTCAAGGCACCCAAAGTGTTTTACAATACCACTATTCATTCACTCTCACATTCACACACTGGTGAAGGCAAGCTACGGTTGTAGCCACAGCTGCCCCGGGGCAGACTGACAGAAGCGAGGCTGCCATATTGCGCCATCGGCCCCTCTGGCCAACACCAGTAGGCGGTAGGGTAAAGTGTCTTGCCCAAGGACACAATGACCAGGACAGAGAGCCCAGGGATCGAACCGGCGACCTTCCGGTTATGCGCTTCCCAACCCCCTGAGCCACGGTCGCCCCTTGACCTGAACAGAAAGTGATCCTGAACAGCAGGATTTAGAAAAATTAAAAGCAAAACAAACCCTTACAGTCCCAGTTGCCTAAGAGCATCTTCTGTACTCGTAATCTGGCAAGAACCAGTACCAACCTACTATCTCAAATGGTTAACAGTGGTTATCCATTTGAGACGCTGTGGGACACTACATCTTAGAAAAAGCTCAAAGCTGCAGGTTGGCGTAAAACGGTGAAGGGAGAAGAGCTGCTGTGTGTGTGTTTGCTCAACATGTATAAAGTGGTCTCATGCATAAGTGGCCAGTGTGCAGCTTTAACAGGACAGTCCAGCTGTTTAACCAGTTTGGCCAGATTTCGCCTGGGAAGTGGTAAGTTACCATGGAGATGAGCCAAGGACAAAAGAAATGTTTGTCATGATGATCCATTAGATAGCTTTTATGTAACCAGGAGCACACTTGACTTTTCCCTACTTAAACTTCTCAGCTTGTTGGTTCATGATTTATTAAAAGTACTTTCAGGGCTACGTGATCTGTGTAAAATTGCTGTTAATGCAAGCTGCAGGACAAACACAATATATGTGTATTACTCCTAAAACAGATATAAAATCAAGACTACTGTGTTGGGAAGGTTACTTTTAAAATGTATTGCACTACAGATTACAGAATACATGCCCCCAAAATGTATTTTGTAATGTATTTCGTTACTCAATGAGAGTAATGTATTCTGAATACTTTGGATTACCTATTATATTATCATGCTTTTCACAACTACATGAATGTACTATTGCTGTGTGAATTATTACTTTTACTGAAGCTTACTTGCCATACCAATACCAACTAGATTTTTAAATCTGAATATATTTGCAGCGATCTCGTATAGGAAACTGTTTCACGCGTATATAAAACAGGTCCGCGGCTCCGAACCATAGTAAAGGGACCTCTGGCTAACACGTCAGGCTCCGTGTCGGGCTCGTAGCTTTACTTTGTTGTCTGGGTCAACTTTGCTAGTGAGAGACAGAGAGAGGCGTTGAAAGGCTGCTCCAACGAAACTTATTGTTTGGGAGGAAAACAGGAACACTGTGTACAGTCGAGTCTTAATAGCTTACTTACAACTGGGCTCGTCAGGCACTCTTCTTGGCTGCAGTGGTTATTATTATATTTACATGCTTCCAGCTCTCGTTTCTGCTCGGTGACAACTCGTACTTTTCCTTTTTCTCCCTCCCTCGCTCACAGACACATAACGGGTATGGCAGTCCATTCTCGCTGCAGCACGGACTACACTGCCCATGAGGCTACATTCTTTAGGGCGATGCCTGTAACACTCTGCCTATTGCCTTCATATTAAATCATTTTTGTGAATAATTTTTTAAAATATTTCTTCACATCATTATGCGGGCCGCAAGTAGGGGTGACATGGGCCGCGAGATTGACACCCAGGCATTAGAGCCTCTTAATGCGCGTTTTGTTTGGGGCGTGGAAACCAAAAATAGAGAGGACATAGCCGAACATATGAAACAGGAAAAGATCCTTTATTTCAACAAAGTAACTGTATTCTGAATACCACCTTTTTAAACGGTAACTGTAACGGAATACAGTTACTCATATTTTGTATTTTAAATACGTAACGGCGGTACATGTATTCCGTTACTCCCCAACACTGCAGGTGGGAAAAAGTTCCAAATGTATAGCACAGATCATCCGAGGTGTTAAAGTGTTTGTTTTTTTATCTGTACATAAACTCTGCTGGTCTTTGCTCAAATAAGATTTTTTACAGTGAAATCTGCCAAATGTGTGAGGCACATTTCACATTTCATTTCATTTGGATTCAAGAGTGAGCTGCTAAGTATTTGGTGGTCAAGGGCAGAGGTCACTGTGATCTCACAAATCATGATTTCATTAGAATCTCATTAATCTCATTAGAAGCTACTTTCAGCTGCTCCGTCATTCATACTTGCTTTGTTCAGATTTGTTTTAGACTAGAACTACAACTCCCAGAGGGGTTTGTGCCTGCAAATCAATCAAAGTTGTGATCTTTTGCTTGTTAGTGGAAATGAAATGCCACAAAAACAGCTTATAAGATAAGAAGGGATAAACTGATGGCATTTTTATTTTAAAAATGATCAAATGCAGGAAAAGAATAGGAGGGTGTGACCATATCTTATATTTGCTCTGTTACTGAATTGATGGCACTAATCATTGGTCCCCATCTTCAGTCTGCATATACAGTAGATATCCTGCTAGCATCAGCTTCAATATGCCTTTAAATGAGTCTGAGTAAAAGCAGGAATTCTAGTTAGCTCGTATAACGTTTGCATTTGCCAGTCCAGTTATTAAATGTTCTTGTCTTTGAAAAACAGAAAGGATATGCTTCCTCTGTTACACAATGTGAAGTTAATGTGGTAAAGCACTAACCAGGTTTTAACCTGATTAACTATTAACTAAAACATACGGAAAATCAGGAAAACAACAAAGGTCACGGAGCACATTTTAGACCTGCATTATTCTGAAGATCTTAAGGGCACTGTTTTCCGTTTTCTGAATTGCTTTTTCAGAAATCGAATGACAATTCACCATAAAATGAAGATCTGAAAGGATTGCCAGACTACAATGAAGGGGCCAAGAATACAATTGCTATAAGACACTCAAAAGGGCTTTCCTCAAATGTCACAGAAATGCCACGGTAAAAGTTTGATTGGTTCACAGAGTGCTTCAGAAACCCGAAAGCTTATGCTCTTCACTTTTCTTCATGCATTTTGATGTTTCTTTTTTCTTTTTTAACAGGAGCAGCACGTCAGAAATCAGCCATCAAATATTGTACGGTAGACATCCCAGAGATGCCCCCGTGCAGTTTCAAACCAGAGGAATACAAGGTAGGAAGTGATGGCACATTCATGTTCTTCTGCAAGCCCTCTCACAAATAAAAGAAAGTCATCAAATATAAAAAGAAACATACGAATCCCCAAAGACCAGGGCCAGAGCCAATTCAGGTTTTCCTGAAATTCAGATACATTTTTCTATGAGGTAAGCTGATCTTTCCCAGATGATCTCTGAGATGGTTCACAGTGGAGCAGCAGATTAGAAATTTACTTTGGGCCTAACAAATTTAGTGCTTTGTTAGCCAAACAAAGAAAGTTGGTGTAATAATGTAAGAACTGCACTGATTTGGTCTTTCCTCGTCTCAGTGAAGATTCTACTTATGGCTTTCTGATTCAGCAGCAGCTGTCTAAACAAGTGTTCAGAGAAGTCTGTACATACCGTACTAAATCATGCCACGGCAAGTCCTAAAATTCCTTATCGTTTCTTAAGGTGAAAGTGGGAGGATTTGCCTCACTGGAAGCTATTTAAGGTTTGGCCCAAGTCCATGACCTAGTAAGACCTAAATATATGGTCTTCATCTTTCCCTCCTGGCTGGCAGCTTCATCTTCATGACCAGTATTTCCCCTATTCCTTTTTTGCACATGTCCAAACCATCTCAGCCTTTCCTCTCTAACTTTAAACTTTAAACTGCCCTCTGATGTACTCATATCCCATCCATCCTGGTCGCTCTCAATAAAAATCTTAGCATCTTCAACTCTGTCACCTCCACCTGTTATTGCCGTGTTTCTGCTGGTGCCACAGAAACCCACACATCAGAACAGGTCTTACTACCATCTGGTGAATCTTACTGATATTAAATTATTATTGCTAGAGCGCCTAGGAGCTGACGATACAGTCCCTTGAGAAATCAGCACTGCTTCCTGCCTGGTGTCTTGAACAGGAAAAAAATATATATTACATCAATTCAATTCAGTTTTATTCATTTATTTTTAAAGGTGCTTTCTATTGTAAGGTAGACCCTACAATAATACATACAGAGACAAACCCAACAAACATATGACCCCCTATGAGCAAGCACTTTATGACATTGAGAAGGAAAAACTCAGGAAGAAACCTCCTTGAGAACCAGGCTCAGGGAGGGGCGGCCATCTGCCGCGACCGGTTGGGGTGAGAGAAGAAAGACAGGATAGTAGCATAGTCGCATACACCTTTTGCAACGTAAGAAAGAGAGGATTCAGGGTCACCTGGTCCAGCCCTAACTATATACTTTACCAAAAAGGAAAATTTTAAGCCTAATCTTAAAAATAGAGATAGTGTCTGTCTCCCAAATCCAAACTGGAAGCTGGTTCCACAGAAGAGGGGGCTGAAAACTAAAGGCTCTCCCTCCCATTCTACTTTTAAGTACTCTAGGAACAACAAGGAAGCCTATAATGTGAGAGCGAAGTGCTCTAATAGGGTGATATGGTACTATAAGGTCATTAAGATAAGATGGGGCCTGATTATTTAAGACCTTGTATGTGAGGAGCAGGATTTTGAATTCAATTCTGGGTTTAACAGGAAGCCAATGAAGGGAAGAGTTACATTAAATCACTTTACATTTTATATGTATAGTATTCTTGTGATACAAGACACAGAGGATGCTTTTCTATTTGGTTCAACTGAATCTCTCTGCTGACAGTGTCCGACTGGCCTTGTTCTTTTATACGTATCTGAAATAAGTCTGAAGTGGTTTTACTGAAAATACCAATGCTGTGCTGGACATTATCTAGATAAGCAAGAGATCTGTACTTCTGACTGACACAAGTATCAACTCTTTTGATCAGTTGTGACATTTACCTGAGAGACACATCAAGAGTAGTGAAGTAGCCATAGGAACAATAGCACTCCTCTGGGGCTGGTGGTGTTGAATCCATGCCACAGAGAATGAAGACTTTTCTGAAGACAAAAGATAATTTTATGCCAGCAACAATACTTGAAAAAAGTTGCATTGCTTCTGTTTTCAACAACTCTGTGTGCATTTTGGAATCAACGACACTAATTGTGATTTTCTGATTCTTACCTGACATAGGGTTTTGGATCCTCATAGTTCAGCAATAATGGTTCCTTCGCAAATGTGCAAGTCACCAGTGGGGCTCCAATTCCAATCACTGATACTGGTTCTTGTATGGTGCGATGAATGATGGTCCGACACTGTTTTGGCCTTTGTGTCCTTGAGTAAAATTCTGGCCATGCGATAGTTTTCCACTTTGTCTGACTCCATCCATAATGTACCTTTCTGGATCTTATAGAGGATTTTGTCAATAACCCAAATCTAATTGTAATGTTACATACGAGTACTTACTAAACAGTTAAAGTATCTGCCCCAAGCCGGCTGATTATTAGTGCACCAAAGTCAATGTTTAAATCTTTGAATGATTCTTTGGCTTCACTAGTTTTGGGATCAAGTTCAACCCCGAGCTGCTGCCATTGTCTAGGATATTACATGTTACATACAAGGATAGTAAAGTGTCAAGGCACCCTGGACCTTATTGCACCCTTACTCAGAATCATAAGGCAGACCACACCCATCTTTGAATTTTCCATTTTTACTACACACATGTAAAGTTTTGCAACTGTTATCTCACATGGTCGTGACGCTTTTACGTTAATAAACTCTGTCCAATGTCTTCCAATAACAACCGCCAAAGTATGTAAAACCAGCTTTATAGGCAAAGAAATCAGGAAGTCCTTCTTTTATGCTTTAAATGTACTACTGTGCTAACACTAATAAAAAAGTTACGACCTTCCCACTCTGTAACATCTCTTCTGCGTATTTTTAGGGTATGTCCAAAGAGCAGATGATGGAGATCTGCAAGCAGAACTGCAACCCCATGACCACGAAGATAACTTACTATAAGAAGCCCGTGTTCATCCACCAGGGCTACATGCAGTGGCTGTGGGATGTGGATGGGAAGCGATATTTGGATTTATTTGCCGGTGTGGCTACCGTCAGTGTGGGCCACTGCCACCCGTAAGGCCGTTCTTCTTCACCGTGTATGGTTTTTGTTCTGATTTCAGTTGTTTATACAAAATTGGCTCATTCAGTTCTTTCCACTTTGACCTTTGTTTGCATAGAAAAGTCACAGCTGCGATACAGAAGCAGCTGAAGAAACGATGGCATACTACTAACATCTACATCCATCCTGAACTGCATGAGTATTGTGACAAACTGGCCTCCTACTTACCTGATCCTCTTAAGGTGCTCTGCTACAGTCCATGAATCTACTTAGTATAAGGGCTGTTGTTAAAATGTGTCCTCTCTGGTTTCTCATCCAGGTGATTTATCTGACCAACAGCGGCTCGGAAGCCAATGAGCTTGCGATGCTGATGGCTCGCCTCCACACTGGCAACTTTGATATAATCACCTTCAGGTAAACGTCTCATTGTAACCAAGCTTAATTTGTCTATAATCATGATGGATCTTATATATATATATATATAGATAGATATATATATAGATATATATATATATAGATATAGATATATAGATATAGATATAGATATATATATAGATATAGATATATAGATATATAGATAGAAATCTGTCCCGCCTTTCTAGTTTTACATTTAGCTGCACAGCATAAACATACTAGAGGCTGTGCCATTGGCCATTCATCCATATCCTCCTGAGAACCAGCCTATTCATTTATGTCATCTGTAATGGTCTATATCTTTTGACTTATTTGAGCTGTCCTACCCCTAAGTCCTTGTCTGGGTGGCCTCTTTTAGCTCCAGAGAGAAAGGAAATCACAAAAAAAGTTCAATGGGGAGATTCTTTTTTGCTTGGTTCTCAGGAGGATATAAGCAGGAGAAGCGATATTATGCTAATGTTTAATGTTGAGTGGATGGGCCTCAGTTGATGAACATTGGTTGACTGTTGGAATTTGCATTATATTATGTTCATGCGACAAGACAATATTTTTCTTTGTCCTTCATCACGGAGTTGGCTTTGCTTTTTATCACATTACCCTTTTTCAAGGTTAGCATTGATATACTCTAATATGAAGCCACACAAAGATGTAGATGTGCATTCAAATTCATCCCCTTTGCCACAGGAAATATAACTGATTAATTGTCATTATGTTCAGTCATTACGTCACCTTTTAATTTTATTTGAATACATTACGGGACAAAATTTAGGCTTCTGGACCTGTTGCACCATGGTACCTCTGCAAAATTCACATTTTTAATCTTGTCGTGACTTTATTAGAAAAGCAGATTATTCAAGTGTAGCTTTTTAAATGTAATAAACTGTGGAACTGTGGATAGTATTATACTGCTAGCAGCCCCCTGTGAAACTGAAGGAGAAAAATAGTTAGTAAGAAGCAGCATTAAAGGAAAGGGTGCAAAAGAGCAGCATTAACCACAGTCTTGGTAATTATAGACAAAATGTAGAACTAGGTGATGAACTTGTTGTATGTCAAGCCTCTGTATATAACCACTCACACTTTATAGGATGAAGACAAGTGTAGTGAAAGAGACAGAATCCTAGTGTAGCACCATTTTGATCATCACTGTGTATGAAGGGTACAGGAACACAGAGTAATAAATAACGGGAAAAGTAGGCGCTGAATGAGCAACTTTGAAAACGTATATATGTAAGAGATCGAGAGACTGCCCTTCAAATCTGCAGGAGGCTTTTGCGCTGTACTTATTCCACCTTGTAAATGGGATAATAAAGAAGCTGTTGAAATGAAAAAGTCTGTCTTAAGTTGTGTATTTTCACCAGGTCAGAATCAAAGGATCAGGAGCGGCAACTGATCCTCGACAAAACCCATTTACAGTCGAAAAGAAGAACAAAAAGAGAGGATGGAAGGAAGGATGGATTGATGGATCCAGTCTAAATGGGAGGGGGTGGGGGGTGCTCACTAGTCGCAGACATCTCAAACACAGCTCCCAAAGCCCCACCCAACACTGAGCTAGCTTTTTTTAACCCTCTTATAAAAACTGTAAGAAGCTGTATAAGTGATGTTGTTACCCCAACAAAAACCGGCAAAGCTGGCAACACTGCCACACAACTGCATGATAAAACAAGTGCAGCATTTTATTACACTCAATAAAGAATTAGTGTTTGCAGAGAAAGAGTCCGTGCTGCCCTTTTTTATTGAGGGCATCAGAGTTGATAGATCAATCCAGTTTGTCATCAAGTTGCACACCAAGATATTTGTATGACTACGCCACTTTGATGTCCGGCCGGCCGGCCATCCATGTCCTACCGCTTATTCGATTTTGTGTCACAATGGCAGCAGTCTAACCATATACACCCAGACTTCTCTAACAGCTCATCCAAGAGATGTAATCTCTCCAGCGAGTCCTAGGTCTCCCCCCAGGGCCTTGTCCCGGTAGGACATATCCGAAACACCTCAACTGGCTTCTTATGATGTGGAGCTCTACTCCAATGACCAAACAATGACCAAGAGGGCAGGAAGCCGGTTCCATCCGTTTAAAGAAATATTAGTTTCTTTAAATTTTCCATGGCCATTGCGTACCTATGACCTCATTACTTCACTGCCCAGAGCTTGTAACCATAGGTGACGGTAGGACTATAAACTGACCAGTAAATTGACTGCTCCGCTTTTACGCTCAATTCTCTCGTCAAGTTTTGATTGTATTCATGATGCAGCAGTTCTTCTTAATCCAGTTACAGAAGGCACTGACCAGGTTCCTGTATTCTTCCACCTGTACGTTCCTATACATCCCACAATTGCTGTGTCCTCTGAATATTTTTGCATGTGGCTTATGTTAGACTTATAGTTCATGTCCACAGTGTATACTGTGAAGAAGAACAAATAAATGCTGGTGCGTGGCACCCTCAGGAAAAGCTGTGTTTACATGTATGCCACCATAGTGGTTCATTACAACCTTTCTCAGTATGTTTCCTGAATTCTCAAAAACCGATGCGGATGTGCCGTCTAGCGGTAAGGGTTTGTTGTTGGTGCAGGTACTACTTGAGCAGGCATTGCAAATAATCTTATGGGCAGCATTCCAGGTTTTATGATGTTATCTTTGTTCTGTGTTAACCATTAACTGTCAGACTGACCCAGCTGACTTGGTTTCTGCCCAATAAACAGACCATGTGCCCTGATGTGTTTAGAGGTCCTTGGGGAGGAAGCTACTGCAGGGACTCCCCTGTGCAGTCCATCAGACAGTGTAGCTGTGCTCAAGGTACACACACACACCCCTGGCTTATCACACATCAATTATCTTTATTGTCGCTCTCATAAACAGGAACATTCATCTCCATGGTCTGCACTAATAATAGCTTGCATGTGCGTGAATTGTGTGCTTACAATCGTGATGTTTATAACACTAAAAGGATGTAAAGGATGAATGGTTGTGGTCAAAAGTTAACATCTGCTCTTCCTGTGTATGAATGTTATGGTAATTTGACCCTTTTAGGGATTTCTTTGAACAGTTCTTTTCCAGGTTGACGTTATTCTACATAATGACTTAAAAAAAACAAAAGAATTGGGTGCATAAGTCAGAATGTATTTATTTATTTAACTTCTGGTGCAAACCCAGTTACTTTGTTCTCTAAGCAGGCCTGAAATATGACAGAAACCACTCAGTTGAGAAAAGAGCTTCAAGCATTACTCCTAGTAGGATTTCAAATGGGGAAGAGTTAAAGTTCCCTTGAAGTTGCACCTCAGTTTGGAAGCCATCATTGAGCATTTAATCTAATTTTTAATCAAAATTTGTTGGTAACGTTGATGTTAGGGCTTTGGAAAGGCCATTCCAGAAAATTCAATTGTGTCGAAGCTTCAACATGAAGTTGAAGAATTTGGGGGTAGTCCTCCTTCATCATTATTCCAACCACTTTATGTAATTTACCTGTACCTCTAACACCAAAACAACCCCAGAGCATGATGCTACCACCACCATGCTTGACAGCTGGTATACAGTTCTTAGGTTTGAGAGCCTCCCCTTTACTCTTCAAATATTACCTTATTGTTGCCAAATAGTTTTTGGCAACAATAAGGCATTTGGCTTGCCAAGTTCAACTGCAAATTTCAGGTGTTGATGTATTCAGGTGAAGGTGTTGATTTTGGAGCAGGGGATTGTTTTCTCCTCCGTCCATAGTGATGCACAACTCACGTCATTGTGGACAGTGATGCTGGTGTTCCAGCTGTTTCCAGTTCATAGCAGGCTTTCTGGTTCCTGTGTTGGTCTTGAACATCCTAACCGATTTCCTCAAATCTGGGGATGACAGTTTGGGTCTTTTTCCAGACCTCGTTAAAGGGGACGCACTTTCAAATTGCTTCTACTTGCTTAAAATCTGCAGATGTTTAGAAATAGCTCCACAAGACCTCCCCAAATTGTGTAAAGCTCTTAGATCTTGACTGAGTTCCTTGGACTTTCCTATTGTTCTGAGTACTGGTCAATCCAGTAAGTGCTGTCAAACAAATCCTTTTTACTACCAGCTGTAGTCAATCATGATCCCTAACAGGACCTTTACAGACCTTGGCCTTGTCAAGTTGAAAGATGTTTTTTAAACCCATTATTTATTATGCATTCTGTGCAATCATTCCACCCTGGAAAAGAAGAATTACCCAAAATCACCATGTCATTTATGGCCTTGATAAGTGTGAATTTTGGTTAAATTGTTTGTTTTGCCAGGTAAATTTAGACCTTTAATAAGAGTGGTCAGAGAAAGAAAGGTCAGCGAAAGAAGTGTTTATGCCCCTGCAGTTCAAACTGCTAATCATTCACTTGTTGTAATGGTTAATCATTCTGAGGAAATTTGTAAGCCTGAGTTTCACCTAGAGTGTACCTGCAAATTCAGCGTGCTAACACACCTGCATGAGAAATTATTCTGTCTGAAACATGAAGAAAAGGCAAGTTCTTGTGGTGCAATAAACACTTTTTGAAAACATATAGACATTTGTATACCGTTACTTTTAGAAAACTGTTGTCTCTGGTCCCACAGGTGCTTGCATAGCAAATAAACATTACATTGAACAGTTAGAAGAGACATTTGCTACCAGCGTTCCAAGTCAAATTGCAGCTTTCTTTGGAGAGCCTATTCAGGTACTATATTCTTTTTATCCATGGCTATGGCTGGATTTATTTTTGACTCCGTGTGATAGTAGCAGACAAACAACATTCATTTTACTAAATATATTTGTTATGCTACTACTCAGGGTTTTTTCTGCATGACTGCTTCTGTTTTTGTTATTTTTTTGAATATGTTAGCAAAGGAATATAAGCGTGTTTGGTGTGTACAGGGCATGGGAGGAGCTGTACAGTACCCGAAAAACTATCTCAAGGAAGCTTACAAACTTGTAAGACAGAGAGGAGGAATCTGCATTGTTGATGAGGTCAGACACCACGAAGGTGTTATGTTTTTCTCAAACACGAAATAAAGCAAAAGCCAAACAGTACTGCAAGGCTAAGCCAATGCAGTAATTATAAAAGTGAGCTAAACGCAATTCAATGGAATTTATTTTAGAAACTCTTGGTTTCTTTGAGTGAACTGTGGATAACTAATGTATTATATAATTATATAATCCAATTGTGTATTATAATAATCTAATTATTAGTGAGCGATATATAGAATTTTAATATAAAAGGCATTTGCACATTACAGGTCTAGACTGGATTAGGCCGAACGGGAAGCCACTTTTGGGGTTTCCAAGGTCATGATGTCATTCCTGACATGGTTACAATGGCAAAGGGTATTGGCAATGGATTCCCAGTGGGAGCTGTTGTTACCACACCAGGTGAGATTACATTAAGATGCGCAAGTCCTAAATTCAATTAGCATGTATGGTAAATGGCCTGTATTTGTATAGCGCTTTACTTAGTCCCTAAGGACCCCAAAGCGCTTTACACTACATACAGTCATTCACCCATTCACACACACATTCACACACAGGTGATGGCAAGCTACATTGTAGCCACAGCTGCCCTGGGGCGCACTGACAAAGGCGAGGCTGCTGGACACTGGCACCACCGGGCCCTCTGACCACCACCAGTAGGCAACGGGTGAAGTGTCTTGCCCAAGGACACAATGACCGAGACTGTCCAAGCCGGGGCTCGAACCGGCAACCTTCCGATTACAAGGCGAACGCCCAACTCTTGAGCCACGATCGCTCTTAACCTCTTTTTTATGTATTTTTTTCGCTGCCCTAATTAAATTTGTTTATGTGATCCCAGCAATTTTCAATTTCAAATGCAAACACAGACTTTTTTCCCTCAGAACGTCATGCAAAATCCATTGACATAAAGCATAAACGATATAAGAGCAAACACTGACTCACATGGTAATTACCAATACAGCGCTAGCCTTGAAAATGTATGTTTATTTCTGTGAGTGGGTGTGTAATAATAGGCTGCTGTGCGTTCATGGTAGAAACAGCTTTCACGTACTGGTCAACTTTTAGATGCACGATTTATGCTCTTAAAGACCCCACTGTCCAAAAATTAACATGAAACCCCTTGATACTTACACAAATCATTTGCAATGCATGTATTCTGAGACATTTGTATTCTGAGGCTGAAGTTTTGATTACAAGCAGCAGAGCGGAGGTGTGAGCTTGTTTATTCATGTGTGTGTGTGTGCGTGTGTGTGTTTTTCCAGAAATTGCTGCTTCCTTTGTGAAAGCCTCCCACTTCAACACATTCGGAGGAAATCCCTTGGCGTGTGCCATTGCTTCATCAGTTCTCGATGTAAGAACCGATCTTCTTATTTCCATAGACGAGTTTGAGAAGTTCTTAATAAAACAGTCAGGCAAGTTTATAACTTGTCTTTTCGCCCAGTGAATGAAGATAGATTACATGTTTAGTTTTTTTTCCCTGCTACTATGCACACCTCTGTAAATCACGCACGAGTGGGGAAGTTTAGTGATTTATACATCTTTTTTTATTTGTCTCTACCTTTGCTAACAAAGCAGATAAAGCTTATCACACAACACAGTGAACCAGATAAAAGCTGCAGCACATTATACATCATAAAATATACTGCTGAGTACCATTTTATATGCGGTGCCATTTTTACTTTTAAGAAACACAATGTTTGCTTCGGCAGTGGAGAGTTGACGAGGGGACTAACAACTAAAGAAAATATTAATCTGGTAGTACAAATATATTTTTGAGCAACTTGGAAGTAGCTTAAAAACATTTATGTTTGCAAACTGATTTGAGTGGTTAACATTTTTCTTTGTACAAATCTACCAATCATATATTTTCCAGATGGAACTGCATAGTGGATCAAAATTTGATCCACTTTTCTGTGTTTACAATTCCATCAGTTTTGACAACACCACTGATTCAAATGCAGCCCCAAACCATTACAGAGCCTCCACCGTGCTTTACAGATGACTGTAGACTCTCTGTTACGCACTGTTTTATCTCCTTTATACATAGTGACAATAATTAGACCCAAAAATTTCCCATTTGGATTCATCGCAGACAGCTACCCGTCCACTGGGACCATTTCTGATGAGGCTTTGGTAAACAGCAGATGATGAACTGAAAGGCCATATCCATCTCCCAGGTTTTGTCAGATACTGTTCATCATATTTTTTAGGCCAGCCACTTTTTCTTTTGTCCTTCACTTCTTCAGGTTCCTCATTTTTGGTGAATACACTGCACACCTTACTGAGATATGCCAAGGTTTAACCTAATAGCTATTTAGAACCGTACAGTTTCTGCAGATTTGTCGTGATGCAAATCTGCTTCAGCACATCCCAAAGGTTCTTTAATGAGCTGAGGACTGTGGAGGCCATTTGAGTACAGTGAACTCATTGTCATGTTAAGGAAACCAGCTTTAGGGGATCTGAGCTTTACGACACAGAGTGTTGTCCTATCCAACAGACGATGGGCAAGCTGTGGTCCTACTGTCAGTAAAAATTGTGGGGCTTGTTGCTTTTCTGAAGTGGTTTAATAGCTGGTCATTTCCCCTCCTTATTAAAAGTATTTGACTATATGATTAAAGATGCCAAAGACTCCAGATCACATTTCTCCAGGTGTAAGCTGATTAAAAAGCAAAAAAGGGGCAATTTTTCCAAACCTTAAGAAGGAATCCTTTCACATTTTCCACCACGTAGCTGTAGCACGATGTAGAGCGTGGCATGGCCACAGATTTGGGTTTTTTTCAGTGTATTTGTTTTTGAAAATAAACAACAAGCACTGACTGAAAAAAAATTTTTCCTAACATGAAAAAATTGAACTGAATGTTGTTACCTTGTTAAGTTCAAATGATTGTACTGCATTATTTTCCTTTTTAGCAACTCGAATGGGGAAAAAATGAAGTAGAACAAAATGCTGCACATTTTATGTGGAATTCATTTCTTTTCAGACTATCAGAGAGGATAGCACACAGCACAACAGTCTTCATGTGGGCACCTATCTGATGACGCAAATGGCTGAACTCAGAGACAAATATGAGATTATCGGTGATGTCTGTGGAAAAGGCCTCCAGATCGGCGTGGAAATGGTTAAAGACAAGGTAGTGCGTTCTAAACAAGTGACTCATCTCTCGTACACCATTAGGAGTAGCAGCAGTTGTCATTTGCGCTTAAATATGTGAGCAGAGCAAATTCAGTTTGTTTTTAAAAATACTACAGTGGACCAGCAGCAGCTGTTAGCAGAGAAGATTAGCCAAACTATTCCTTCCCAAAACCCACACTGAATAAAAATCAGTCTGACTCTTCAGTTTACATATTTGGTTATGTCCAAAGGCTGATTTAACATTTCTGTCATGTTGCCTGTAAGTAAAAACTCTAAAGTCCAAAAACGTTGGGATACTGTGTAAAAACAGAAAGACTGAAAGACAGAAAAGATGCACATTTTATTCAAAATGAAACGCATCAAATGCTTAAACATTTTACTACTACCTCAAATAAATCTTATCTTACTTTGATTTTGATGGCAGCAGCGGTTCTCAGAAAGTTGGTATGTGGTGGTTGTGGGAACGAAAGGCTGGAAAAGTAACTGTTTCTGTGAACTACTGGGAATAAAATAATAACAATACTGTTTTTAACTTACATTTTACATTTTCTGAATGAGGTTTGTGCACGCTGATCCTATTCATATGCACCACTTTTCGTGATGTATTGTTAAACAGGAGGAAATGTGGAAGTCAAAAATGCCATTTAATACTTTAACTAAGCTTTCTGACTGAGGAAACATTAACATATTAGACCACAGAAGACATGGCGCTTGCTTTAAGGTGCTATAGAAGTAGATGAGTAATATTAGTAATACTAGATAGCACATCTTTGTGTCCTTTCATATCTTCTTTTTGAACCACAGGGCAGCAGAGAGCCGCTGCCTCCTGAAGCAATGAGTGAGATCCTTGAGGACATCAAGGACATGGGAGTCCTGATAGGCAAAGGAGGAGTGTACGGACAGGTAGGCGGAGTCACCATGAGCTGACCTATCCTTGTGTCAGTTTAGTCATGTGGTGGAAAAAGAAAAAAAGTTTACATGACTCCATGCGAAAAACAAAATCACCCTTACCGCTACTAATCAGATTCACTTTATTTACTGATCAGTGTTAAGTGATCTGGCGTGGAACATTCAGCTACAATGCCACAATCTTCCCAAGAGCAATACTCGACGACACTACAAAGAAACCAAAGTTACAGACGGTGCGGCTTCAGTCAGCATGTTGAAGTTCATGGCAGTACAATTACAAAAAGCCTGTAGGGTTGCCAGGAGAAAGAACATGACAGCACCGATTAGGTTTGCAGCGATGCATCTAAAAATCACAAGGCATCTCCTTGGGAGATTTCGCCAAAGTGGAGGCGTTTGGCCACAATACACAGCATACAAGTACAAACCAATCTAACCAACTGTCCAGCACAGTGGTGGAGGGGTGATGATTTGAGCTCGTTTTCCAGCCACAGGACCGTCTCGCAGTCACCAAGTCGCCCTTGAACTCATCTGTATACCAGACCAGAGCATTTCAGAGTCAAATGTGAGGTCATCTGTCTGGAAGCTAAAGCCTGGCCCAAATTGGCTTATGATACTCAAGGTGCTGAAAACACACAGTCAAAGTCAAGGTCACAACCTCACTAAAACACTGATGAGAACTTGAGCTGTACAAACCACAATGAACTGAAAAAGGTAATGACGAGTGGGTCAAAATCCCTCCACAACTATGTGAGAGTCATCAGAGAGTTATTGCTGAAAAGGTTGTTTTACAAGAAACAGAATCATGGGGTGTTCTTAGTTTAAGAACCCAATACAGAGTTAGGAAATATGAGTGTAAAAATCAGCTATAAAACTATAAATATGGGACAAAAAATAACTAAATCATGATGGAGAATCTCTATTTTGCCCTTGAGGAAGTTCACTCATCTAAACTCGTCAAACCAGCACAAGTCTTTGTTCTTCAAGAAGTGATTTGACTTACTAGACTTCACAAAAGAATGGTGGTGCACCAGCTTCTGCTTTTCTGTGCCCCGCCCTTCAGAATGTGCTTTAAAGCAGTTATTAGCAAGGATTTTTCGGTCAAACTTAGGTTTGTGTTCTTTAAAAAATTCAACAAGCGAAAGATTCAAGGCTAAAACTTTGAACAGTCTATGCGACGGCACACTCAGTCTTGAACAGGACTATCAAAAAACATGGTGTTACAATCTCCTTGCCTGCAAACTCTTGAGACATACATTACAACAAAAAGTCTCTGCGGTGCAAACCACAGACTGAGCTTCCAAAAACTTTGCTGTGTATCAAAGGAAATTATTTAACTTTTTGTAATTAACCATTTACAATGACCCTACACATTTTAAAATGAATAGGAGGGAAAAAAATAGCATCAGCGTCTCCAAGGCTAAAAAACCAAATGCACTACACTAATCTCCGGGTTGAAGCCAAAAATATAACGTCTAAGCTAACGGCTGGCCTCAAAACAGCAATAACAGAGAAATGCAATAAGCTTCCACTAATGAACAAAACACTTTACAAAACAAGTCCCACAAGTTTGCCACTCCTAACCTCCAAGAGCACTTAAAAAACAAAACAAAACAAAAAAAAAAACAGCAAAACAGCACTAACTCAGCATGCACACCCTTCTCAGAATCCAGTGGCTGAACAGCATTTAGCTCTTGCTGTTGGAGGTAAATCTGAAGTTCCACAAATGATCTGAATGCCTTCATCTGTGGCAATCAGGTGTGAGAAACCTAAGAGAGAAAGGGAGGGAGAGCACAGCTGTCTTCCAGAAAGAGGCCAGAAGATCAGTGAATGTAGATTGTAAGTCATTGTATTCTGTTATTTATTCATTTATTTGACAGCATCCCAACCTTTTTGGAATTTTTTTGGTGGTCTAACCTAATTACTGTGCTTGACAGCAAGTCTCTTATTCACTTTCTTATAAATTGAAGCTTTTAAAAAAAAATAATAAAAATGTTAATAGTAATATTAATAGCAGAAAAAGAGTACCCAGTTCATCAAAAACTTTATTTCACCTCCATCTCTGATCAAATGTCATTGTTGAAAAGAAAGTTTTATTTCATACAGCGCGTCCCCGGCAGAGTGCTTTGACTGGCTGTGGAAAATACTGTAGGCGTTTTATGTTACTCATTATGAAATATTACACTGGATGAAAAACATTATATGGTGCACATTTTTTGAAAACTCCATTCAGTCGGGAATCAAAATGTCACTGCCACAATTGCTAACCTTGTATTGTTCTAGGGAAAAAAGCCAGAGCGTAACTTTTTAGATTTATTCGCAGATCAACAATGAATCAATGTGAAAGCCTCTTTACAATTTGTTTCGATGCTTAAAGCTTTTCAACTGCCTTGTCCTTGAGTTTAAAAGGCATCCTTTTCTGTAAAAGTAATTTTTTCTTTTCAATTAATGCACAGCTATTCATGCGTGATACAGTGAAGATAACAGGGACCTCATTTTAAACTTTTTCACCTATTACAAGCGATTGTTCAACAGAAAGAGGGGGGGTCTCGATTTAAAAGCAAATGCCTTTCCCGGCTTAGATATTAATTTATGGGCCTGCTCTGCCTTCAGGATAAGAAAAGAAAAATAGATTATTTTGCTCCATGAGCTCCACTCTCACCTTCTTTTTTCCTTTCTCTCACCACTTTAGACCTTCCGCATACAACCCCCCATGTGCATCACGAGGGAGGATGTAGATTTCTTCCTGGCGGTGTTTAATAAAGCAATCTCGGGCTACACGGACAGAAAATGAGCAGGTCAATGCTGAGGAGTGAACTGGAATGGAAAACCATTCAGCAAGGGACTTCTCCTTTAAAAAAAAAACAATTAAAAATGTATTGTCTGAATGTTTCAAATTATATAAAAATGGCTCCACTGAAATCAGTCTTTTATAGTCACTGATTTTTACTGTTTCTCTAACTTCGATGTCATTTTGCTCACTTCCGATTGAATGACTAAACATTTTTGTGATCAGCCTGTAAAAATATTTGAGATGAACCGACCACAAAATTACAGTTTCATTTTGTTTTTGTCTTCCCGATAAAACTGCAAACATACGATGAAATGAATGCATGATTTTTATTCTTTTTTTTAGACACATCCAACAAGCTGTTCGCTGTTACACACGATTCCCAGAGGCATTAATGGAAGCAAGAAGCACTCCGAGAGTGCAAACCTCCACCATGAGCAGTATTTACTTATAAGAGAATAGTGTTGTATTTCATGTATATACTCATTTCATTATCTAAAACATACTGTAAGAAGTTTATATGGCAGTAAAAATCAGATACGGGCAACATGACAGATGTTTACATTGATTACAGAGACATTATGTAGGAGTAGGTCATGGATAATAGGTATTACCTCATTCCTTTTTCTCTTTCTGATGCTTTCTTTAAAGATCTAACACCTTTTAGGGTCAGCTTAAACAAAAGGCAGATGTGGGATTGTGAAATGTTAAAGTGAGGTCAGAGGTCAAATGTGACATGTTTGGTTGGAGCCTATAATGTGATATTTATGATCCCCATGTGCCAGAATCATTTCTGAAATGGTGCCGATAGAATCAGAAGCAGTTTCATTTGTAGCATAGTTTTAACGGTTAAAACAAAAATATTTTTAAACGTTTGACCCTGAAGAAGAGGTAAGAGGTCCAATGTAACATATTTAGAATCCCCATATATCATTGCCTGATCACTGATCAGGCCTAAGATTCTGACCGCTGAGACGTGAAGTCGATAACACCGATTATCTCCTCATTGTGGCACCTGTTTGCAGATGAGCTATACCAGGGAGCAGATGAACATTTTGTCCTCAAAGATGAAGCAGGAACAATGGGCAAGTATCAAGATTTGAGCAGGTTTGACAGGGGCCAAATTGTGATGGCGACTGGGTCAGACCATTTCTGCACTGATCAGTATTGATCAAAAGTGGTCCAAGGTAGAAACAGTGATGAACCAATGACAGGGTCACAGGTGGCCCAGCTCACTGATGCATGCAGGGAACAAAGATTCCACAGATGGGTTAACATAGCACAAACTGCCAAAAAAGTTAATGTTGGTTCTGACAGATACAAGTGCATCATAGTTTGCTGTGTATGGGGCTGCATATGTGCAGACTGGTCATGTGCCCATCTGACCTCTGTCCATCATCAAAAGCACCAACAATGGACACAGAAACATAAGAACTGGACCATGGAGTGATGGAGGTAGTGGCCTGAACTGATGATCTTCTACATCATGGATCATGGGCGATCGTGGCTCAAGAGTTGGGAGTTTGCCTTGTAATCGGAAGGTTGCCAGTTCGAGCCCTAGTCGTTGTGTCCTTGGGCAAGACACTTCACCCGTTGCCTACTGGTGGTGGTCAGAGGGCCCGGTGGTGCCAGTGTCCGGCAGCCTCGCCTCTGTCAGTGCGCCCCAGGGTGGCTGTGGCTACAATGTAGCTTGCCATCACCAGTGTGTGAATGGGTGCATGACTGGATGTGTAAAGCGCTTTGGGGTCCTTAGGGACTAGTAAAGCGCTATACAAATACAGGCCATTTACCATCACATGTATGACCAGGTATGTGCATTAGCATCATCATCATTTTGCCCTTGAAGGAGGATTTAGAGGTCAAATGCACCATGATATTTTAAATGGTGTATATGGTATTTTCTGTGTTTAACATTTATAAGACTCATTATTTTTGAGTTAGAAGGCTTTTTGTCAAAAGTTAGCCTTGAAGACCTTGGTGGATGTAAGACAAATTTTAACAGACACACTAACAAAAACATAACCACCTTGGTCGAGGTAATGATTTCAGGGTGGTATACCAATCTGAAGCATCATCTTTATTAGTAATACCACTATAGACAAACAAGGACAGAGGTTTCCTGGAGATGTACAGATTTAATATTGGAGATAGAAGTATCACATACACATCAAAAACTCTTTCTCTCAACTGGTTTCAGTATGAAGACTGTCATAAGTTATGAAAGGCTGCTCGGAAAGTTTTATTCATTCCATTCTGGACGATTCACTTTTTGACACAACTGTATTACTGAACATTATAGTGTAATTAAAAAAACAAAAAACAAAGCTACGAGTCAGCCAGTGCTGTCCACTTTAGACCCCTTTAGAGGTTTGTTTTGTTTTTTAAGCCTTTAAGTGTTCCTGCTGAGTGAAGCTCTTTCAAGTTCAAAAGTCCAGGTCAGGATGTGTTATCTGTTCTTCTTCTTGTCTTTCTTGCTCTTGCTCATGGAGCTCTGAGGAGTATTTCCGGAGAGGGCTGTAGCGTGGCCGCTGGACTTCAGATGGTCAAACAGCTTGTTTCTTGTGGAGAACTCGTTATTGCAAGTGACACAACGGAGGTTCACTTCCTTCTGGAGGTGGAAATGGAGATAAGTGATGAAAGTGACGATTGTTTTCTAACAACAAGTGCTGCATTTGAACTAATGAGACAGGGTGAAGCATGTCTCGCCACAGTTCTCACATAATAATTAGGATTTAATTAACAATATTGTACAAAAGTCTTGAGCCACATTTTATTTCTTTAAATTAGGAAATAATGCAAACATACAAGGAAATAAAGCATATAAGTAAAAAAGTCTTCAGTGAAGAGTAGCTGAATCAACTCAAGGTTCAGATGCATCAGATCATCTCTTTGCTGAATTTTTAAGATACGGTGCTACTACTTTGATCCTCCACTAGTCCTGTTTCCTAAAAAGCTTTTAAGAACACAGTCCAATCCATGCTGAGATATGAGATATTTCCAGCTCTTTGGGGAATCACTTTGTTTCCAAAAATCCAGGGGTCTTTTTGCCTGTCAGGCTGTTATCTGTTTTTTGTAGATTGCAACATCTTTAGACACTGTTGCAAAAGTGCCTAAGGACGCCGTTTAAAATAGATTCTTTGCCAATTTATCTCTGCAGTGTCAATCCAACACTGCTTTATTGCGTGAGTTAGGTGCATACTTTCTTTTTTTGTTGGAATGATTCATATTTGTCTAGAACATTAACAAACAAAAAAAATGTCTGAAGGTTCAGGTTCAAGGACTGGACTGAAAATGAGTGAAAAAATGTCTAAAGAAAAACTCTGAAAGACCTTCAGAAAATCTGTCTCCTTGAAAGCAAAGTATAAAGAAATGTGGGGCGGCTCAAGACTTTTACACAGTACAAGAAATATTTTTAAAAAAAAATCATCTGAATTCTGGATTTTACAAACCTCAGGAAACTGTTCTCCTGTGTGCTGCTTGACGTTCTTTGGTTTGTCTTTTCCTCCTCCCTTCTTTCCCTTCGTCTTCCCAGTGCTGCAGAGGTAACATTCACATCAAGGATACATTTAAAAAAAAAAATAAAAAATGTTATTACGCTGCCCAATTTCACCTAGGAATTGGTTGGTTCCCTCCTCTATCGCACCAAGTTGAGCCCCACACATCCTCAATACAAATGACAGAGAATATTATTATATTATTTTTTTCTCTCCATTTCTTTTCGCCCTTTTCTTTAACCCAGAATGAAAGAACAAACACTAACTGTCACATTGCTACAACATGCACATTATTGTAAAGGAAAGTACTCTTGAAGGAACACAACTCAATTCATTGTTCTGTTCATTTTGTCCATCATTTGGAAAGATTTTGGGCCATGGTGACATGCTGTCAGGGCTGGGCTATATCATACCGTTCACGGTAATACCGGTGTAATGTTGGGCAACGATAGGAAAATGAAACCTATCGTGCCTTTGTTTACATACGCTCATGGCGGAAAAAGTATGACGGCGGCGACGCAGAATGAGAACAGCGAAAGTGGATCGCTGAATGAAACGGATGAACCAGAAGTGGTTTGTAAAAATGCTGCAACTTCAGTGGTGGAACTGGTTTAGCTTTCGTCCGTCAGATACACAACAAAGCACTATTTTTGGTAGAGCATGCTAGCGGGCCGTCGTTATTACCGTGTTTT